GCAGTGTCTGTTGTGCTTACTTTTACAGAAGAACTCCAAGGGACATGAAGACCTGATAAATCATGATAACACTAGTGATGGACAACAGAAATAATGTTTTCCCTTCCCTTTGTGGTAACACCAGGTGATGATATTACGCATAACATGTAAATTAATTGAACTTGGATAAATTGGCTGTCCCATTAGAGATTTGATCAAATTACAGCAACCACTGCAGTCGTTCTTACTGGCTTTTGTGAACACACCAGTGGCTGCTATCAAACATATTACCAAATTGGGAGAAGGTAAATGTAAATGATCACAAATTGATAATTGATGCACTTGCTGCTACACAAAACAATGTTTCTTTGGCTCTCAGCTGTATCCAGGCACAATTGTGGATGCAGTCAGTTGCTGCCTCGATTATAAGAGAAGGTGAACAAAACACTTTTCCCACTGAAATGCGAAAAATAATTTGGGACAGTGCCACTGACTTTGAAAGAGAATTCCAATCCTGGTGGAACCCAGTGAATTTTGACTTACAACCCCATTTTAAATACAGCCACATTTTTTGTGTTCATGATATACAATGCCTCAGAGCATTTAATTTTCCCTGTTACAGCATTAGAGCTGAATTATGACGGAGCTATTCTCTATCTTTCTGAACATAGAGAATGGGCCTGTCAAATTGGTAAGAAATGGTAAACTGTTAATTTGGAATCTTGTTCCAAATTGCCCAAGAACAATAAGGGCTCATCTATGAAAGTAATGCAATCATAGCTCAAGACATTTGTTTAGACACAGAGCAAAATACCTGTCATTTTGAGATTTGTTTTAATGAGACTTCTGAAACAGTCCTTATATACATAGGCAATAGATGTGTATGCTTTAGAACTATTTGTGATTTTGTATTTGTAGAAAACGTTGTAGTAGATACTAAAAATCATTCAGATTTTTGTGCTTGTAACTTTACCAAGATTACAGGATGTGATTTCTCTTATGAAGCTCCAGTTACCTCTCACTACCTATTGCAATCTAACTACACACTGATTCACAAACTGATGCCTACTATTGGGATGAATCCCACTTTGGTAAGACAACTGCTGCTCCATTGAGACTTAGTTTAAATCCTTGAGAAGATTAAGAAAAATGGACAGAAAACCCTGGTGACTGTTCATCATTCTGTGAGACAGATACACCGTGTCATGGAAAGAGTGAAGAAAGATGCCGAGCACAGGTGGTGGGATACTCTTTTAGGTGGTCTCCTACTGCCATGGGTGTCCTGAACAGTGTGTGTCATCCCATCCTTATCCTTTTGATACTAATTGTGTTTGGCTTTATTTTATCAGCAATCCTATTTGTTATGAATTAGAAGATGATGAAACAGCTGACAAGACTGACATCTATAATAAATGCACACAGCTTAGTTGATATCCTATACACTATGGACATCCCCAAGTCATTTGGCACGAAGCAACTATGAATTAAGCATATGTGTTTTAGAGTAATCCTGAATTTCCTTTTATGATTTTGTGAAAATTACTTTTGATTTTTAGTGAATTGTTTTAGAAAATAATTTTTAAGTTAATGCTTGTATTATAATTTATTTATTGGTTTTGCATTTGATTATTTGTGATTTGTTTTAAACATTTTTTGAAATTGTTATAAAAATAGTACTATTTTAATTAAGGAACCATTTTAAAATGGTTATAAAATTGATACTGTTGTGATCAATATTAATAATGTTTGTTTATTGTCTCCCTTTTTTCCTTCTTTTTCCTATCCTTTTTTTTCCTCCTTTTCTCTTTTCTCTCTCTCCGTCATACTGTCTCTACTTTTCCGGGTATACTACCAACCTACGGCATGACTGATCAGCGACACTCCAGAGTTCTGCTGATGGAGATCCCTTCAAGACAATCGGGAGTCATGGGGTCGTGTGAGAGTCTGTCCAAATTTTCCCTCATCTGCCTCACGATCGTCATTGGGGGACCACTGAAGAGAAGACCCCCCCCCGTCTTAAATCTCTGGCTCTGAAGGAGAAAGTCACATGCCAAAGGCCCTGAGACCTGAAAGCACAGTGTTAACTCCTATGTGAAAAGGCCCCTCTCCTCCTTCCAAGGACTGGGACTGAAACTCCCAGCCTGGGGGAGGTGTGTGGGGGAGGCAAGCTGACCAAAGCGAGATGTTTGCCTGCAGGTTGTGACCACTGGACCAAGAAGACAATGGCTCTCATTTAGTGCTGAGAACATGGACTACCTGCTACATCTATTCCCTATTGTATCTGTTTCCCCTCGGCCCTCACAATTTTCAATAATAAAAACCTCTGAGTTAGCTAGAGATTTTGAGATCTCCCCAGCATAACAGGCAGATCCTCGACTGGACTGGACCAAAGGACTTAGTCTCTACATTTCGTAGCTATATCCCCTCTTTCTCTCTCTCTTTTCTTTCTCTTTCTCTATCTTTTTCTTTCCCTTAATCTCTCTATCGCGTTTTGCTGTGGTCATTCAATAAAGGTGCATTTGTTTTGATTATCACTGCAAACCCCCTTGTACCGTATCGGTTTTTTGCACCCTGAGACCATCCCTATGAACCACCACAACATCCGTTCACTAGGACGTATTGTGACACAGGCCAGCTCTGGAACTCCTGGAAAAGGAGATCCAGAGTCCTGGGCTGGGGACTCAAGGGCATCCAGGATAGTGAGCACTGAGTCCATGTGGCATGGGGGCACAGTTAGGAACACAGCTGGGGACATGCCTGGGTGGACAGGGGTAGGGGGTGAAGGGGGTTTAGGGGTGAGGAGGGTGTTAGAGGGTGGGATGCACCCAAAACTTCACCAAGTCAAAGGAGAGGATGCTCAGAACTGGGGGAGGGAAGGATGGAAAAGAGGGAAAGGAGCCAAAAAGGGTGAAAAGGACCCCAAATAGAGGAAGAGTGACCCAAAACAGGGGAAGGACCCAAAATACAGGGAAAGGATCCACAACAGGGAGAAGGGACACTAACCATGGGAGAAAGGACCCAAAAGAAGGGGGAAAGGATCCAAAATGGGGGGGAAGAATCCAAAATCAGAGGGCAAAATGTGTCATGGGATGTTATGGGATGCTGGGGGGTGTCACAGTGTGTCCCTACCTGTGCTGGGTGCAGATGCTCAGCACCAGGAGCAGCCAAGGGAACATCCTGAGGGACACAGTGACACCTTGAGGGACATAGGGTCACCTTGTGGGACACGGGTTGAGACCTCATGGACTTTGGCCCCTCCAGGGGTGGGGGACAGGGTCATCAAGGGAAGGACAGGGACACACGGAGCAGTGACAGGGAGCCACGATGGAGGATGGGGACAAACAGAGGGGAGGGACACGATGCCAGCAGGACACATATCAGAGGACAATGTTGTCACACCTCAGGGAATGCTGCCACCAAGACACGTCTGGTGACACCCCGTGCAGGGAAATGTGCCCCCGTGGGTGACTCTGACCCTTGCCCTGTCCCCAGGGGTGATTGTCCCCTGAGTGCAGTGGCCCTGGGACACACTGGTGGCTGTCACTCGCTTCCAGGCCACTTGACACCAGCTGAACAAGTCACCCGTCCTACCCTGCTGGGTGCTGACATTCAGCTGGGACACTGCAGTGGTGACAGTGGGGATGTGGTGGCAGGAACTGCATTAAGCAGCGCTTGGCCACGGCCAAGATGAAGGTGCTGGTGGCACTGTGGTGGCACAGGTGGTGGCATCGATGCTGTCCCAGTTCATGTCCCCACCCATATCCCCTCATGTCCCCAGCCAGGGCTGTGTCCCATGTGCCCTTACATGTACCCATACATGTCTGTGTTCCCCACATCCCCATCCATGGCCATGTCTCCATCCATGGATCTGTCCCCTATATCCATTGTCCCTCACATGTCCCCATCCATGGCCTCGTTCCCATGTCTCCCCATCCTTGCTCTAGTTCAACACCTTTACTTTTACCCCAATTTCAAGGTCTTCAAAGGCGATGCACAGACAAAAGACTCTTCCATTAATTCAAGTTAAAATGTTGTTTGTTCATTACAATGCCAAGCACAAGCGGAATACTTTCCAAGGGCATGTGCACCCCCCAGAGAGTCCAGACCTCCCCTTTGTCCCCTAACTTGTTGCATATGCATTCAGTTTCACAATAGGTTCACATATATTCATTTAGTAGTTTCGCATTACAATTAGTTCTCTGGTTGTCCCTCCCTCTCCTGCAGCCTCAGTTTTGGTTTCCTTCTTGTTTCAAAGTCCAAGTGGCCTCTCTTACCTTCCTCTAACTTGGAAATTCTCATTCCATTTATCTTGTTTGAGGCAGTCTTGTAAGCTACAAGCACAGCAAATTAATAGACTCTATAGACTAAATAATTCAAGGCAGTACAATTCACCAAAATCTGAGATAGATTTCTAACCCAATTCCTAACCCCATGTCTCAAAGGGATCAACAGAAACCTTTGCATTTCAAGGCCAGAACAGAAGGATTTACGTGTCCCTGTCAGCAGAGCATCTATGTGCTTGAATGGGAGGGAAAAACCTTTATGGAGAAGTTTCCACCCCACTGGATCCCAAATCAGGAGTTTGCATCAGTCTGTCCGCATTTAGCTGTGGAAGGTCCCCATGGGTCAGAGAGAAATAAAATGATGGATTTATGTTGGAGACAACCTCCAAGGCCATCCAGTGTTGCTTGATTGCACCAGAAGATGCAAAAAGGGAGATTTTTCTGGGTCAGAAGTCGACAAAACTGCTCTCCACAAGGGATTTCTGATGTTGTTCTGTGGATGTGTGCAGGTACCCATGGGGAGCCAGGAGGATGTGGAGCCCCCCAGCCAGGTGTCTTCCCAACAGGATCACCGGCACCACGGATCACCGGGGATCTGCCCACCGGCACTCACTGGGGATCATCCAGTGTGGATCCCATGGGGGATGGAGCTGGAGGAGCACATGAAACTCTTCCTGCCCTCGGGGCACTCACAGGGCTTCCCTTAGTATAGGGTCCATTGGTGTCTGGCCAAGTTACGGCTCTCTGAGAAGCTCTTCCCACACTCAGAACACTCATAGGGCTTCTTGCCAGCGTGGATGCTCCGGTGACTGACGAGGGTGCAGTTCTGCTGGAAGCCCTTCCCACAGTCGGGGCAGCGGAAGGGCCTCTCATCTGTGTGAGTGCGCTGGTGCTTGACGAGATCGGACTTGGTGTAAAACCTCTTCGTGCATTTACCACACTCATAGGGCCTCTCCCCGGTGTGTGTCCTCTGGTGTGTTACCAGGTCAGCATGCTTGCAGAAGCTCTTCCCACACTCAGGACACTCATAGGGACCTTCCCCCACATGGGTCCTCTGGTGTTTGATCAGGTCAACACGCTCACAGAAGCTCTTCTCACACTCAGGACACTTGTAGGGCTGTTCCCCTTTGTTTCTCCTCTGGTGTCTGGTCAATTCGTAGCTCCTTCTGAAGCTCTTCCCACACCGCCCGCACTTGTAGGGCCGTTCCCCCAAGTGGATTACCATGTGGACGATCAAGCTGGAACTATGGCTGAAGCTCTTCCCACACATTCCACAATAGTAGGGGCTCTCCCCTGTGTGGCTCCTCTGGTGTATGATCAGGGTAGCACGCTTGCAGAAGCTTTTCCCACACTGGGGACACTCATGGGGCCGTTCTCCTGTATGGATCCTCCGGTGTCTGGTCAGTTCGGAGTTTGCCTTGAAGCTCTTCCCACACTGTCCACACTCATAGGGCCGTTCCCCCGTGTGGATTCTCATGTGGCGGATCAGGGCGTATCTGTTGCTCAAGCTCTTCCCACATTCTGAGCACTTGTGGGGCATCTCCCCATCCTGAAGCTGCTCATGGACCTCCAGCTCTGAGCTCTGGCCGCCTCCCCAGCCCAGGGTGGGTCTTTCCTCCTCAGATCCCCGTGATCTGCGTTTGCAGCCCCTCCTCGTGAGGGATCTCCGGGGCTTTTCCTCCCCGTTGGGTTCCTGTGCTGTGGAGCTGCACAAAACAGCCTTTTCCACAAAGTTCTGCTGTGGGGATTCCTCCCTGCTCTCCGTCCTCAGCTCCTGGTCTGGGGAAGGAAGGACAAGGAGAGGATGGGATTTGCCTCCGTGCCACAGGGAAGGACAAGGAGGTCCCCCCAGTGCATCCCCAGCAAGACAGCTTTAGCAACAGGGATGTCCTGCAGCCAGGGGCCGTGCTGGGCTGGGAGATGGAGCAGGAGAGAGGAGGAAAGGGGCACTGACTTCCTCCTCACCTGCCTGGGGCTCCCTGGGCATCTTCTTCCTTGCAGCCTCCTCCTCCTGCTACATTGGACCAAAGTTTGGGAATGGGAAATCCTGGTGTGGAGTGGTAATATGTAATGTAAAGTAATTCATGCGTAGGGGGAAAATGTATAAAAATAAAATTGTAAAATAAATTAAACATCCAACAAGCCTCTGACCACCGACAACCTAGAGACAGATCACCTCACTGAAGTTGTGAAACTCCTGGTGGCAGCAGGAAAAGAATGCCTCGTTAGCAAACAAAATAAAGTGGCTGGTGCAGAGATGAGCTTCCCCTGGAACCACCCGGGAACACCCAAGGACGATCAGTACTTGACAAGTATCATCAATAAAGAAAACCAAGGTCGTCAAAAATATACATTTGAATACACGATTTCTCCTGACATTATCAGTGCCCACCACCACCCAAGAAATAGCAATTGTCCAGCCCTGCACAGTAAAAAGAAACTTCATACACATGCAGGGTGACAAGAAATCTGGACACCTCTGCCTCAGGCAGAAAAAACTGTCAAGAACAGCCCCACTGGAGATGGCATTTGTGAACAGACGGAGATCCGATGCGATAGACGTCGGATCCAGGTTCACCCAGAGCCGACTCCGGGCTCGACGTCGTCTCTTTGACTCTGGCTTTTTGAGGACTGTATTTCTGGTCGCGAAAATAAAATCTTTCGCATATATTAATTTTGTCTTCTTATTGATCATTTATAACAGGGGTAAAACAAGGGCTGAGTGAGTTGGGTCTGATGGTCCCGCTGCCCAAGAGCAGCTGGAGAAGTCAGCGCCCCTTTCAGCCTCGGGGGGCCCGGAGCCTGCTCATCCCCAGCCTCCCGCACCCCTCCAGGCAGCCGGTTTGTCCCCCGGCTCTGTGATCACCCCTCTGCACTCTCCCTGCTCCGGGGCTCCCGAGCTCCCCCTGACTCTCCTGAGGATCCCCAAACCCGAGTGTTGCCTTCTGGAGCAAGGCAGGCGACCTGGTTCTAAGGATCAGCATGGCGGCCCAACTCTCCTGGGCCGCTCGGGCCAATGACACACGCAGACATCAATGTGATGGACGGTCAAAAGGCGTTTATTATCTCATCTCTTGGGTTTTTATAGTCTAAGGGGTCTCTACGTCAGCGTGGATCTGTCTTTACCATCTATGGTTAGTAAGGGGTGGACAGTTACTGGGTAGGGGATGGAAAATTATCAGTGTTTGGTTAAGGGAGGCTACCTTCCTATGTTAGTTTCTTATCTACGGGAAGCAGATGGTCTTATCTAAGGGGAACAGAGGGTCCTGCCTTTCCGTGACATCGCGAGATCTTCCGCAGCGCCTTTCCCTATCTACCACACCCGAGACTGCCGCTGTGCCCACCAGTGCCAAGCGATCGCCACGTGGGATGCCCCAAGATGCCTGCAGGGGCATTTCCGGCCCAGTTTTGGGGTCCTGAAAGATCCAAACATCCCCTACCCTGCAAACAAAAAACATCACAGAGACCTCCCCTGATGGATTTGGGGCGAGCTCCCCCATCCCGCTCACCTGCGGGTTCTGGCGGAGGGGCCAATGCTGGCGGGACAGGGGGAGCTGTGGCTTGAGCAGAGAAACTGTGGGGTGTTGGTGCTGCTCTTCCTCCTCCTCCTCTGTCCCTCCTCTTCCTCCCGCTTTTGATCTCTCCCAGCCCAGCCCGGGCAGTGCCGACACCCAAAACCAGCCGTGCTCTACCCTGGGCGGGTTCCACAGTGAGCCCATCCCGCGCAGCACTGGGAGCGATCCTGGGAGCACCGGGAGCGATCCTGAGATCAGCGGGAAGGAACTGGGAGCGCTTTCCCTGCCAGTGCCGCTCTTACTGGGAGCACTGGGGGGAAACTGGGAGCAAACAGTGCCGGGAGGCGGCTGCAGCTGGCGCTGGGCGGGGCCAAACTGAAGGGAGTGGTTATGCAAGTACAGGAGCGATTGCGCGCTGGGATTGGTGGGCAGGAGCAGCGCGGGGTTTGCTCAGTTATGTGAGGGCCGAGGGGGCCGGAGCGATGGTGGTGGCGTCTGGTGAGAGGGAACCAGGAGCAGGAATGGGGACAGGGAGTGGGAATGGGGATGGGAATGGGGACAGGGAACGGGAATAGGGATGGGGATAGGACTGGGAATGGGGTCGGGGAATGAGAATAGGAATGGGGACAGGGACTGGAGATGGGGATGGGGACTGTGAATGAGACCTGGGATGGCAATATGGGAACGGGACATGGAAAGAGCAGCCACAGAGAGAATATGGGCTGGGGATTCGTGCTCCAAAGTGTCTCAGTGAAACCCAGCAGGGGCTGTGAGCTCTGCAGCTGGGCCTCCCCTGCGCGGCTGCGGCCCAGGGCCCAAAGGCGGGAGCTGCAGCCTCGATCCTGTCTCAAGAACAGGAGACTCCTCCAGGCCCATGGCCCCTGCATGGCCCCAGCATGAGGGAGGGCTCTGAGGCACAGCGGCTGCTGGCAGGAGGGGCTGCTCCGGCCAGCTGGGGGCCTCTGAGAAATGCCCAAAGCCTTGTGCTCTCTGCCGCTGGCCAAGGACAGCAGCAGGGCTGAGGGTTTGTGGGGCACAGCCAGCCCGAGCTGTGCAGCCCTCAGGGCCCCATGGGAGAGGGGGCCTCAGGAATGGGACTGGGAGTATGGGACTGGGACCAATACTGGGATCGGGAATGGATACAGGGATAGGAAATACGGGACTGGGGACAAGGACAGGAATGGGGACAGGGACCAGGACTAGGACCAGGAATATGGGAGAGGGACCTGGAATGGGACTAGGAATGGGAATAGAGGAATGGAAATCTCAGAGGAGCATTGGGACCAGGAATAGGAACAGGACAGGGAATATGGGACAGAAACAGGAATTGAGACCAGGAGTGGGATTCACGCTGGGATGGGAGCATAACGTGTCCCAGAGCAGGGTGACATGGGAACTGGTGGGTGAGAGGGGGGTGAAAACAGGGAGAGAGGGATCTTGCACAGGGGACACCGGGAACTGAGACGGGGGTACATGGGGACAGTCCTGGGCCAGGGGCTCCTTGATCAGCTGCCCCAGAACCTCCACCGGGGTCTCCCAGCACAGCTGGAGCTGCTCAGCCTAGGGTGCCCAAAGGCCTGAGCAACCCCCAAGTCCCTCCCAGAAACCCTCAGCTCCCTCGAACCCAGCATCCCCCACATCCCTTGCAAGATTCCCCCATGTTCCCATCCTTGCCTTAGTTCAACATCTTAATTTTTTACCCAGTTTTTGGGTTTTTTGAAAGGACAAAGAGAAATTAAAAGACAGTCAAGGGTACAGGGAGCCAGGAAGAATTGGAGCCCCCCAGGCAGATGTTTTCCCAAAATGGATCACCAGCACCAAGGATCACTGGGGCTCTTCCCACCTCGGGTCACTGAGGATCATCCAGCATGGACTGTCCCATGGGGGATGGAGCAGGAGCAGTGCACAGAGCTCTTCCCGCACTCAGGGCACTCATAGGGCTGCCCTTAGTGGTGCCTCCATTGGTGCTGGGTCAAGGCTGAGCTCTGGCAGAAGCTCTTCCCACACTTGGGACACTCATGGGCCTGTGACATCACAAGGAGCAGAGATGGATGTCAGACACCCACCAAAGCTGCTCTCTCACTCCTCTCCAGAGATGGAGAGGAGAGAGAAAATAGAATGAAGTCTTCATGGGTTGAGTTAAGGACTGAGACAGATCACTCAGTAAATGCCATCATGGGCAAAACAGTTCAAAATTAGAGACATTAATTGAATTTATTATCAATCAGAGCAGGATAGTGAGAAGTAAAATAAAGTTTTAGAAACACCTTCTGCCCATCCCTCCCTCCCTCCCAGCTCTACCTCCTCCCCCAGTGGGTGCAGGCAGACAGGCAATGGGGGTTCTGCTCAGTTCATTCCTGTTGTTTCTCCTGCTGCTCAAGGAGAGGAGTCGTTCCCCTGCTGCACCATGGGGTCCCTCCTGGAGACACTTCTCCATGAACTTCTCCAAGGTGAGTTCATCTCAGGGACAGCAGCTCTTCACAAGCTGCTGCAGTGTGGCTCACTTTCCCATGGGCTCACATGGAAGGACCCTGCTCCAGCATGGGCTCCTCTCTCCATGGGTTTGCAGGCCCCTGCCTGGTCCCTGCTCCAGCACAGGTTTCTCATGTGGGTCACAGCCCCTCCTCAGGCACCCGTTGCTCCAGCACGGGCTCCTCCAGGTGCTGCAGGTGCATCTCTGCTCTCTGAGACCTCCATGGGCTGCAGGGGCCCAGCTGCCTCCCCAGGGGCAGCCCCAGGGAATCTCAGGGCAATCAGCTCCAGCCCCTGGACCTGCTCCTGCTCCTCGTCCTGCCCTGCCGTGCCCTGGGGTGTGCAGAGTTGTTTCTCTCTCGCATGTTCTCACCCTGGTCACAGATACAACTACATGATAACTGATATCATAAATCTCTTATTCCAAAGGTGTTACCACCATTTCTAACTGGCTCAGCCTTGGCCAGCAGCTGGTCTGTCCTGGAGCTGCCTGGAATTGCCTCTGTGGGACATGGAGGAGCAGCTACTTCTATCATTCTCTCACAGAAGGTGCTCCTAGAGCCACCTCTTACCAAAACCTGGCCATGCAAACCTAGTATAAATATGGTCGGGTTTTATTACCATTATTCATTCTTATGATTGCTATTTTGGCTACTTTTGCTCTTAATATTACAGTTATTACTAGTATTTTTTAATCTTTTTGACTCTTTATTAAGAGTGTCTATAGTAGAACTTGAAACAAGAGTTCTTAATTGCAAGTAGAAGTTATCATTTTTCCAGCCTCTTGCCCTGCCCTGTTCTGTGTCATTGCTGAGTGTGAAGCTGCTGCTGCTGCCAGGGCTCCCCATTTCCCTGGTTTGGGAAATTTGATGGCATTGCTCACATGTCAGAAAGAGAGGGCTCATTCCAATCAAATGCATTGCCTGAACTCTTCTACCCCCAGTGTTGGAAGCTTGTTTTGTAATGTTGACTTTCTCAGCATCCGTTAATATTTGTGATTTTATGACAAAATGTTCTGGGATGGGATTTTGCAAGATTCTGTAATCAGTGTTCAGTTTTGCTCTTGGATTTCTTAATGGTGTGTCAGAACTGAATGCAGCATTTTGGGTGGGAAGCCTTGAGTTGGAGCTAGGATTGTCTCAGCAGCAGCTGGTTTTGCACATGTAAGCAGAGATAACAAAGTTTCCATGAACTGAATGAATCCGCAGTGCCTGAGTGGCACCAGAGCTGGGGGAGCCTCTGCAGCCTGTGGGGTCGGACATCCCGATAAGGGGAACCCCGGGAGCCTGGAATGTGGAGCCCAGATAGGGGGGATCCTCTGCAGCCTGGAGATGTTGGGACCATGGACAAGGGAGACCCTTGGGTACCCCAGGGCCCTGAAATGGGGACTCCACACAGCTCGTACCCCTGGAGCCCCTCTGACACCCACCTGGGAGCTCAGGGAAGGGAACATCTGGGATTGCCAGGAGCCCTTGCAGCCCAGAGAGAGGGGACGCCAATACACACTGGGGCTGCAGAAGGCCAGACAGGAGGGACCCCTGAACCCCAAAGTGGAGAGACCAGAGCGGAGGAACTCCTGGGTGAATGGTTGTTTGGTGAATCTTGGTGGTTCGGGTTTTTATGAGGGTGGCTGAACCTTGGTGGTCTGGAGGTTTTTATGGACACCAGACACCTGGTGACTTCTGGAGATGGAATTGGGCAGGAGGAGCACCCAAACCAACACACTCACACCTTGTTTTTCCCCCATAAAAGGAATTTCAGTTCCCAAAGTTTGAACAGATGGAGGAGGAGACCATGAGGAAGATGAAGATGCCCTGGCAGCCCCAGGCAGGTGAGGAAGAAGTCAGTGCCCCTTTCCCCCTCTCTCCTGCTCTGTCTCCCAGCCCAGCACGGCCGCGGGCTGCAGGACAACCCCACTGACAATGCCATCCTGCCAGGAGTGGATTGGAGAAATCTCTTTCTCTTTCCCTTTCCCTGTGGCACAAAAATAAATTTCCTCCCTCCGTCCCTCCCTCCCTCCCTTCCTCCCTTCCTTCCTGGGTTTTTCCTTCCTTGTCATTGTTCCTTTTGCTCCTTGTCCTTCCTTGCCCATACAAGGAGCTGAGGATGGAGACCAGGGAGGACAAATCCCCACAGCAGAACCTTGTGGAAGAGGCTGTTCTGAGAGGCTTGACAGTGCAGGAATTCAATGGGGACAAAAGGCCCTGGAGATCCCACATGAAGAGGGGCTGCAAACCCAGCCTAGGAAGCCGTGGGGAGGAAAGACCCACCCTGTGCTGGGAAAGCAGCTGGAGATCCAGATGCAGCTTGGAGCTGGTGGTTCCTGAGCACCTTCATGGCAGGGAGAAGCCCTACAAGTGCTTGGAATGTGGGAAGAGGTTCAGGCAGTGCTCCAGCCTCCTCACCCACCTTTGCATGCACCTGGCTGGGACCCCCTTTGAGCAGGGGCAGATTTGAGCCAGAATACTGGGAATCCCAGAGCAAGCCTTGTGAGTGCACCCAGAACATCCCCCACTGACCTGGAGCTGCTGCAAGTCATGAACAGTCAGAGCAGGGCTGTGCTGGGGGAGCCAGGGGCTGGGGGGATCCACAGCCATAGGGGTTATTTGTGGGGCTGGAAAGAGAGTTGTCCTCCTGCTCCTCACCATCCTGTGCTTCCCAGAGCCCAGTCACTCCCAGTATGATCCCTGTTGCCCTCAGCATGGTTCCAATTGCTCCCTGTTACTCCCAGAGTGATACCAGTGGCCTCCAGTATAGTCCCGGTCACTCCCTGTATGATCCCAGTCTCTTCCACCAGGGTCTCAGTCATGCCCAGTTGCCCTCAGTGTAGACCCAGTCACTCCCACTTGCTCCCAGTTGCTTCCAGCAGGGTCCCTGTTGTTCCCAGTGTGGTCTCTGTCACTCTCAATAGGGCTACAAACACTCCCAATATATCCAAGTTGCCCTCAGCATGCTTGGGATCATTCCCAGTCACTCCCAGTATGATCTCCGTATGATCCCAAGAGAGCCCAGTCACTTCCAGTAGGAGCTCATGGAGCAAAGCTCATGAAACACCTGGAGGACCCACCCAGAGGAGGGTCCCTACAAGTTCTCTGGCTGCAGGAAGAGCCCCAAGGAACAGAGGTCCCACCAGAGTCACCACCCTGTCCTGGTTTAGGGCAAATTTGTTAAAGAATCTGCAAAGGAGGGCCCCTCCAGAAAGCAAAACCCACACGGCCCCTCCCCCCAACCGGTTCGGGAAAAAATTCCTTGGAGAGAGGTGGAAAGAACCTGTTTATTTCAGGCACAGCACCCCCCAGCACACAAAATGAACAATACCCGATGACACCGCTCTGAGAAAGATGGCAAAATCAGAAAGTCTCTTTCGGGGGTGGTTGCTCTGTTCTCAGTCCCTCTGGTGCTGGGGCAGCTGCTGCAGGCCAAAATGGTGCAAACCTTCGGTGTTCCCGGGTCGCAGTCCGGAGCAGGTTCGAGATGGTCACAGAAACAGGAGAGGAGAAACAGTCCAGGAAGGAATGTGGACTGTTTAGCTAGACCTAGCTAATAAGCAGAGGCCAAAGCAGAGCAGAAGCGAGAGCAGAAAAGAGAGCAAGCAAAGCAGCAAGCTGAAAGCAAGAAGTGAAAAACAGCCCTAAGTACTGCTCGTCTCTGTGTCCCTGATAAGAGAAACCCAAACAAAACTTCCACTCTTCAGAGCCAGTCTTAAAGGCACAGAAGAGATGAATGGGGATACAAGCATCATAACATCACCCCAGGACATTCCACCCCTTATCCCCATATCATCAACATACTACAACACATCATGCATTATTCATACATAATTTCCATCTGTTTCCCCAAAATTACAAGCAATACCAATCATGCCTTCATCACATCCCCACACTGGACCACTGAATCCAAGCCCTATATTACAGAGCTGCAGGATTCCCCCTTTTCACTTTAGTCACTTAAAGCTCCATCTATCAATTGCTCAGACCTTCGACACTTACACATTTCCTTCTCCATCTTCCACTTGCCCAGACCTTCAACTCTTACACATTTCCTTCTATCTCATGTCTGTATGGTTTACAGACAATGGCAGTAACATCCAATGAACAGTGATATTGCATATCATTCTTACCCCACATTCAGATCTCCCTGAGGTACACATCGTGTTGTTCCATCTCTTTGCATTATCCACCACGTGCAACCTGTTCCCTGAGCAAAGACAACTCCACAAATGGGTTTGTCTGTACTCGAGGCAGAATTAATCCAAATTGTCTTCCCTAACAAACCTCTGATATGTACCACTGGGACTTTGTCTCCTTCTATTATATTCAGGGACTCAGACTGGGCAGGACCTGCTCGGTTGGTGGAACCTCGGGTGTTAACAAACCAGGTGGCCTTTGCTAAATGCTGCTCCCAATTCTTGAAAGATCCCCCACCCAAAGCTTTCAACTGGGTGTTTAGTAGTCCATTGTACCTCTCCACTTTTCCTTCAGCTGGTGCATGGTAGGGGATATGGTACACCCACTCAATGCCATGTTCCCTGGCCCAGGTGTTGATAAGGCTGTTCTTGAAATGAGTCCCGTTGTCTGACTCAATCCTCTCAGGGGTCCCATGTCTCCACAGAACTTGCTTTTCAAGGCCCAGGATGGTGTTCCGGGCTGTAGCATGAGACACAGGGTAGGTTTCCAACCATCCAGTGGTGGCTTCCACCATGGTCAGCACGCAGCACTTGCCCTGGCGTGTCTGGGGCAGTGTGATGGAGTCAATCTGCCAGTCCTCCCCATACTTGTACTTGGACCACCGCCCACCATACCACAGGGGCTTCACTCGCTTGGCCTGCTTGATGGCAGCACACGTCTCACAGTCATGGATAACCTGAGAAATACTGTCCATGGTCAAATCCACCCCTGGGTCTCGTGCCCATTTGTAGGTGGCATCTCTGCCCTGGTGGCCTGAGGCATCATGGGCCCATCTAGTTAGGAATAACTCTCCCTTATGTTCCCAATCTAGGTCTATTTTGGACACCCCTATCTTTGCAGCTTGGTCTACTTGCTCATTGTTTTGGTGCTCCTCATTGGCCCTACTCTTGGGTACATGGGCATCTACATGGCGGACTTTCACAGGTAGCCTCCCTACCCTGGTAGCAATGTCTTTCCACTCATCAGCAGCCCAAATTGGTTTCCCTCTACGTTGCCAGTTAGCCTTTTTCCCACCT